AAGAACGAGCTACACCAAGGCAAAGGATTTCAGGCCAATTATCCTAACATCATTTCTTTTTAAGACATTGGAGAAGCTGGTGAACGCGTATCTGAGGGAGACAACCCTGTAGAGGCACCCTCTCCACAAAAATCAGCACGCGTATCGTTCGGGCTATTCCACCGAGACTGCTCTACATCAGACGGTAGCGTTTATTGAGGAGCAGCTGGAAAGGAAGGGCTACGCAATGGGTGCTTTCTTGGACATAGAAGGCGCCTTTAACAACACACCGCACGAGGTAGTGTGTGAGGAAGCCGCCAGAAGAGCTGTTTCAATGAAGATCGTCGAGTGGATCCGGGGCATGCTAGGAAGGCGTGTGATGACTTCGCTGGGAACTGCGAAAGTCTGTGGGTGGGTGGGAAGAGGCTGCCCGCAGGACGGAGTACTTTCCCCACTCTTATGGTGCCTGGTAGCAGACGGATTATTAAAGGCACTGGACGATAGAGGTTTCACTACACAAGGCTACGCGGATGACGTGGCAATACTTGTGCAAAGCCCTTTTCTAGAGACGCTTTTAGAGCTCATTTATGGGGCACTGGAAGTTGTAGAAGAGTGGTGTCAGAGGACAGGTTTAGCGGTGAATCCACTGAAAACCGGTCTTACTGTCTTCACTCGCAAATACAAAGTGGGCACCATTGTGGGACCCACTCTTGGAGGAGTAAGGTTAGTTCCGACCAAATCAGTGAAATATTTGGGAGTTATCCTGAATAGGAAGCTGCTTTGGGAGGAGCACCTTCGTAACCGGTACAAAAGCTTGTGCCAATATTTTTGGATGTGCAGAAGGACCTTTGGCCAGACTTGGGGTTTGAAAGCAAGTATGATACACTGAATCTACACAGCCATACTTCGCCCCAGACTCACATACGCAGCCGTAGTATGGTGGACTAGGGTGCAAAAGAAAACAGCCAAAGTTGCGCTGGAGCATGTCAGGGCTCTGATTTTGAGAGGAACCCTGGGTGCTATGGTTACGACACCAGTGGCGGCGATGGGCGTAATGTTCGGCATCGAACCATTTCATCAGGTGGTGGTGGCTGCGGCAGCAGTGGCGACATACCGTCTAAGATGCGAATTAAAATGGAAGAAGGGAGCCCGGCATACGAGGCTGCCGGAAGACGTTCTGTTGGATTTGATATTCGAGATGCGACAGAATACCTATTATTCGGGCTTCTGATAGGAGCTTCAAAGTGCATATACCGAAGCCGGAGGAGTGAGAAAAGGAAGGTGGAAACTTAGGGGCTCGAGTGCGTGGAGGGGATGCCTGGTATACGGACGGCTCCAAGACAAACACGGGCTCCGAGGCCGGCTTCTTTGGCAGTCGAGAAAGATGGAAAGAGAAGGCATTTCTCTCGACAGTTATGCCACGGTATTCCAAGCGGAGATTGTGGCTATCCTAAGCTGTGCTCAAACCGTGCGGAGTAGGGTAGAAGCGGG